ACCTTCGCTGTTATATTTGAAACGTCTCGCAAATTATGCGGTAACACAAAATTTTCAAGCCACATTTTTTGGAGTCGACTCACCAAAACCAGAACTTGTCATTACAACGGGTACAATTGCAGAGAATGAAAGAAATTTGGCTGAAATTGTGGATCAACTCTATGGCCAAATCGGTCAAATTGATAACGCAGCTCATATTCATACAGTAAACGCAGTTCGTGCGCCTGACAATTTTCTGAAAAGAAATCCCTTCGCTCCACCAGCGATCAATACCCCCAAAAAATATCTTGGAATGCGTAAACATCTGCCGATATTTCACCGTCGTTTGATCACACGGAATCGCCACGATTGCCACCAAGCAACTCTAGTGGCAATGGTTCTTCAGAAGAAATTATGTCCGCTAAAACGGTGTTGATGATGCTGTAGCCGATACTGGCAGTGTTTCTGGTGAATTTACTGTTGAAAGTTTGTATTTCCTATGAATATAGGTTAAAATAGTTTAGATTAGGTCGTTTAATAGATAGCTAATACATAGTTTTAATTTTTTGTTTTGCAGGTGCCGCTATAGAAAGCGTTATAAATTCCACTGAATTGGCTGAATCGATTGAACCGCAGAAACTGGCTACAAATTTCACTGAAGATAATGATGGCACATCAATTCATGGCCAACAAGATCAAGATGAATGGGATGAATGGGATCCACGAATTTTTATGTATTCAAATGACTCAGATGATGAGGTCGCAGGTAAATGCAGTAAAATTATGCGCATAAATGTTGAAAATATTAATTCGATTCAATTGTTTAAGATGTTCAAAGCGCCACGCAACAAGTAAACGAAACAAGTGATGACAGCTTTGAAATCGAAAATTGTCACGAAATAAAAGGCGGAAATGATGGAAACAGCACTTTAGTTGATGTACGCAAGTACTGCGATGAACTAGATCGTTCAATTGAGGTGGCTAATAAACAATTCGACGAAGATTTCACTGACATCTATGGCCTCTTTGGTGGTAAGTGAAAAAAAATTATTAGGTGTAGCTAAATTCGCTAAATTGAGCGTTTCTTTTCTTACGAATGGATAATCTATATACTATTAATTCATATTTCCATATATAGGTTGTTCTCTCACTGCAAATGGCGAAACAAATTCTGGTTTACCGGTCTTGTCTGAAATTAGCGATAACCAATCAACTATAATTCAAGATCAGATTGCGATTAGTCAAATTATTGAAGATGCTGTAAAGAATGTTGCCGGCGATAATTCTGATGAATCGGTGGCTGACTCTGTTGGTCGTTCTCATTGCTTTGATCTAATCCGGCGTACTAACGACTTGCCTTTCTCCATTCATGGTAGACAGCATATTAACACATATTTTATGCTTCATATTATTTCTAATAAATATTATTTCAAATATTTGTTAGGCAAAACAGGCGAAACTCAAGATCAGACTGCTGGTATCGCTATTGAAAGCGTGAATAGTGGTCACACAGAATTGCCACCTACCAACTCTATTGATCTAAATATGATTTCGACTCCCACAGCTGATGAGGCTAGTGACAATGGCTCTAAAGGAGAAATGATGTCCGCTAAAAACGGTGTTGATGATGCTATAGCCAAAACTGGCAATGTTTCTTGCGTTTCTGGTGAATTTACTGTTGAAAGTTTGTATTTCCATGAATATAGGTTAAAATAGTTTAGATTAGGTCGTTTAATAGATATCTAATACATAGTTTTAATTTTTTGTTTTGCAGGTGCCATTAATGATATTGGTTTGATCGATTCAAATAATAAATCTTCTTCAACAAGCACCACTCTGAGAAAACTCAGATGTTAAAATTCAAAGTAATCAGAGCAAAATGCCATTTTAACATGGA